TTTTTTAATAATAATTCTCACATTACAACCATTAGTTTAAGTCTCAACTGTCATAAAGAGCCACTGGGTGGCAGAAACTTCCTAATATTGTTTTGTGCATTGCTCAAAGGGCAAAAATATTTAGATAATGCATTGAATATTTCAGTTAGGTCTGTTTACTTACTACATGACTACTAGAATTGTATATGACAGAAACATCACAATTCAAATTAAGTGCAGTGGTCAGGCCTGTATTGTTGTTTTTCAAATGTAATTTTGTGTCTTGGGAGCAGATATTCAATGCACCCTCCTATTGGCAGTACAGTGAGCTTTCTTGTTATCATAGGTGCTGTCCCAATAATCCGATGTCCAAGAGGGAATGCTGCTGAAATGGTAGCCGTGGTAAGAGACTCGCTGCTCTGTTTTTTAATGTTCCTCTCATACTTTCTTTATGACCAGTCTGAGACACCTTTGTCTTCTTTTCCAATTTATGAATTCTAGAATAGAGTGTTATAGAATGGCTTTGGTCATTTGATTATCACCTCAATCCCTACACTAATCTCTGCATTACAGTGCATTTGTACATTTCATAGTCTGTGCACAATGTGCAAACTGATACTGTAGCTTAATTCAGTTTCACTGGCACAAAATTCCTCTTTGTTCCATATGTGGGATTTGGTCCAACCTCAGCTTGCTTTCAGTGCTGAGTTTTAGATGATTAGTTTCAGCAAAGGAATGTCTCACTGTAATATGAGACAAAATTAACACCTGTTGCTCAGTTTATTGGATTAATTTATTTTATACATATTGTACAATTGTTTCTAATGGAATATTAATAATATTGATTTAACTTTTTTTTTTTTTCTCAGAAACTTGACAAGAAACTGAGAGAGAATCTGCGAGATGCTCGTAACAGCCTGTTCACCGGAGACACCATGGGCACTGGCCAGTTCAGGTGGAGCAAAAACACAGTCTTGCACACCTACATACGACTGATTTTAAGAGAGTATACTTGTTTAAGATATAAATCTTTGATCTTAAAATTATTATTGTAAACTCTTAATCCAAAACAAATACCTCCAGATGGATGGATGAATAGATAGCCAAGACAGACAGATAGATAGATAGAGAGAGAGAGACAGTAAAGTGTCCTTAACTGGGACACTTTAAGAAAGATCTAGAAAGTTGAGAAATGTTTTAGTATCGGGCCATAAAAATATCCCTTCTTTCCCTTCATCACTCTCACAGTTTTCAGAGGCCACTGTTTGTTCTTGCCGATCGTAACCTGGATCTAGCGACTCCTCTCCACCACACATGGACGTATCAGGCTCTTATTCATGATGTGCTGGTGAGCAGAACCTAAAATAAACTCGTGTGATCCACAGTTAATTAATTTCTCCTTTTTTTCTACTAGTGTTAATGTAATTTATTTCCCAAAATGGAAACTGCAAATAGTTCCAAGTTGTGGCATATATGGAAAGATGAAGCTATCGCAGTTATCATATGGATGACAAAGGGGTTTCATGAAATGTGGAATGTACGTGCTGGGTTGCTTTTTGTGCCAATGATCATTAATCCTTTGGGTATTTTTTCCACCGTCTCAAAACTGCTTCTGCCTTAATATCGTCTCAATTCCCTGTATGGCAGCTGTACTCTGAGGGATTCTATTCTGTATTAGTAAAAGCTGGCATGTGTGTTATTTTAGATCCTGTATTGTGTTTTGATTCAGTTATTTTGCCTTGCCTAACCAATATATCCCCTATATCAGGACTTCCACCTGAACCGGGTCAGTGTGGAGGAGTCTCAAGGGTCAGAGGCCAGCCCAGCTGGAGCACGGCCAAAAAAGAAAAACAAGAAGAGCTATGATCTCACTGCTGCTGATAAATTTTGGCAAAAACACAAAGGAAGGTAAACATCTACTGTTGGTAAAACTCATGTATCCAAATGGAGATCATTGTGCATTTTTAAATGTTTTTAGTTTTTTTTTTTGATTACTTCTAGTATTCTGATTTGAAATATTTTGAACTAATGACTGTAATTAATATGTCTGATGCAATTTCTTAAGTCTAATATAAATGATTATGTCTGATGTTGCTTTCCAAAGACCTTATTCTGTCCTAGTATAATAAAATGTTGAATAGTTCACCCAAAAATTTAAATTTTGTAGTCATTTACTCACCCTCATGTTGTTCCAAACGGATGAGTTTCTTTTTCTGTGAAACACAAAATAAGTTGTCAGTGGGCACCAAAATAGTAAATTTTTGTGTGAACTATCCCTTTAAGGACATTAATTAACCAACTGTACTTTCAAGCGTGTAAATGCGTGATAGGAAATCATCCCTAGTTGTCTTAATTCAAATGATTTGTCAGATGTCACAGTGTTTGTTAATATTTAAGAACATTTGCTAATATTATTTTATATCATTGCTTATTTTTGCAAAATATCATAGGTTCTGTTTTGGAAAATGTTTTAGTTTCATTCCTGCTTTCAGGACTGTATCCAGCAGTTTATACTGATATATTTACAACAGCTTAATGTCATTTATTTTTAGCCTCTTCTGCATGAAAAGCATTTAATACATTTTTGTTCACCATTTCAGTCCATTTCCTGAGGTTGCAGAAGCTGTGCAGGAGGAACTAGATGCATATCGAGCCCAAGAGGATGAGGTTAAACGCCTCAAGAGTATCA